ACAGAAGGGTCATAAGGAAAGAGAGGATCCAGTCAGGGTGCAGTATAGCACCAATGAAACATACAACTTTCCCCTAGTTCTTTAATGCTTCCTCACCCCCCACTATCATGACCCCATTTCTACCTTACAAATCTGGGTAGACCAGAGTATGAACACTGATACGTATAAGAGCTTGCAACACAGGGAATCCAGGACAGATAAAACTCCTCAGGCCCAACAATGAGAGTAGCGAAACGAGGAGGGTAAGGGGAAGGTGGGGGGAGAAAGGGGGAAATCAGTCATATGAGCGACATATTACCCTCTTACAGGGGCACAGACAACAGACAAGTGGGTGAAGGGAGACAGAAATTGGTGTAAGACATGAAAAAAATATAAATTATCAAGGATTCTGAGGGAGGGAGGGTGGGGAGGGGGAAATGAGCTGATACAAGAGTTCAAGTAGAAAAAATGTTTTGAAAATGATGGTGGCAACATACGTACAAATGTGCTTGACACAATGTATGTATTTATTGTGATAAGAGCTGTATGAGCTGTCTTAATGATTAAGACAAAATTCTTCAATTTCACAACTTCTACGTGTATAATTCAGTGCCATTGATTATATTCCGTGTTGTACAACCGTTATTAATATCCTTTCTAAATTATTCCACCACCATTTGCATAAACTCAGTGCCCCCTAACCAACAACTCTTTCCCCTTTGCCCATGGTCTTCATTGATCAATTTTATGTTTTAGTAGTTGTCTTGATAAAGCATTCACATATCATACACTTCCATGGTTAAATTGTTTTTATTTATTTATTTTTAAAAATAATTGTGTATACATCATCACAATCAGTTCTAGTGCTCCCTTCCCCACTTCTGCATTCATTGTCTGCTCCTCAATTCCCCACCCCTGTCCCTCCTCCATATTCCTGATAAAGATAAACCTTTGCATTAGTTATTGTCTCAATAGGATTTTTATATTAATCATCTAGAGAAATAGGATTATTTAGAACGATTAATATGTTATATAGATAGGTTTAAAAGAGAGAAAAGGAAGATGGAGCCTTCTAAAAAGATTCTGCTAAGAGAGTCTTACAGAAATGAAAATTATTTTGAGACTGAAGTAAAATGATAAAGCCTGCATTTTTAGAAAATGTGCCGGTGTGGTTTTTCAATGATTCCTCTGTGGCGATGACTCCCGGGACCCCGATTTCCATGACAGTGTCTGTGTTCCTCTTTCTTTTCAGGACCCACCCCATGATGTCGTAAGCAAGTAAGTGCTGCTTGGTGTGTTTCTGTGATACTAATGTTGGGATTTGACATGGATTGCGAAGGGGTTACTTGGAGGGCAAAGAAGTTCTTCCATAGGGTTGAAAGGGATCCCATAGAATGAGGAGGGAGTAGAAGCACTGTTGTCATAGAACTTACGTTGGAATGGCTAAGAGATAAAGTATATGGGAGCAGATGATGGGAGAAGTGAACACAAGCGAACAAAACCCCAGAGCAACCAAACCTACTACGATCGAATGGATTTGGGCTCATAACGACCCTGTATAAGGTTTCGGAGCCTACACATGACTACAGGAGCAAACAGCCTCCATTGTCACATGCAGAGGCGCTGGTAGGTTTGAACTGCCAGTCTTAAGGTTAACAGACGGGTGCCCAACCCACAGAGTATTAGAGAAGATTTAGGATTCCAAATTCGTTTCTCACACGCTTTCTTGTAACTTCTTCCTGCTACTCCTGACCAACGTCCTCCATATTCTATGGAGCACCTTGCACCATCAGATTGTCCTCCATGCTAGTCAATTCCTTCTTCCTGAGATGCTACTTGCTGTCCTTCCAGAGGAAGGGGATGCCTCACTAAAACACTCACTTTATGTCCTTTGGCAGCTAGGAAAACAGTGAGGGGCAATGATAAGATAACACATTTTTCATCCACCAGGAGCCCTATTGGGCTGCTAACTGCCATGTCAGCAGTTCAAAACCACTAGCCTCTCTTCAGGCAAAAGGTGATTTTTCTACTCCTGTAAAGAGTAACTGTCTGATAAACTCACAGGGGCATTTCTGCCCTGTCCTGTAGAGTCAATATGAATCGGCATTGATTGGGTGGCAGTGAATTTGGAGTTTGGGATTTATCCAGTGGCTCTTTCCTTGGTATATAATTTGCTGTATCTCCATGTTTTCCGTAGTACACTTATTATCTAGATATTTCATACTGGTCATTACATTTTCATTTCTTGGTATTTCACAGAAGTCAAACACTCTTCCTAGCAGTGGGTTTTTGTCTATTTTTCTTGTATCCTTAGAGTTTTTACTTTTCATATTTTGGTGCATCTCCCTCCTCACCTGCATGGCCTTTGTTCCTGCTGCTAGCTCTCATGAAGTTACTCCCCATGACACCATCACCACCTCACGGTGACGCATGCACAAGGATACTGGACCACTGTGCTCCATTGTGTTTTCCTTGGCTGGCTTCGGGAAGTCGATTGCCAGCCTTTTCTTCCTGGTCCAGCTTAGTTTGGAAGCTCTGCTAACACCTGATCATCATAACAAACCCAAACCTTCTTTGTCAGATGAATGACATTTGAGGAGTATTAGCTAGGCACCAAACCTAGGTCTCTCACATGGAAGGCAGGAATTTTACCAGCTAAATATCAGTGCTCTCCACATGACTTTTAAGGAAAGTCATACCTTAATTGATTATAATATTTTTATTAATATAAAAGATTATGACATTTTATTAATATAAAATACCCTCTATTCTTTAATATTTTGGCTTGAGGTCATTCCTGTCTGATAAAACCAACACCTCAAATTTCTTTCATTTTGTATTTCATTTCTATAACTCCAGCTTTTGACTTGTAGCATTGATTGAGGAGCATTTATTGTATTTGACCAATTCGGTCCTCTTCTGCACTTCCCTGATTCTTATGAGGCCTTCTGCAGCTCTCTGTGAGTCTCCTCTTTCAGCTATTGACTGACCGCTGTTGGAGTCACTCTGTTCCTCCAGGTGAGAGCCCTTTGGAGATGGCCCACTTAGATCTTTCCACGGCTCCATACCTGACCTACTAGCTACATACGGTGATGCTCTACCCTCAAAAAGCTCACTTTGCACTAATTGTGGATGCTCTACCCAATCTGCTGTCAGCACAGCACCTTCGGACATAAACAAGCGTCACACCCATCTCTGTGTTCCTTTCATTGCTTTCCACCGCCAGCTCTCGTAACAGAAACTCCTGGTTAAGTTCTGCATGGAGGTCTCTGCAGTCTCCTCACTTGCTGTGAAGAAGAGCACTCACTTCCTCTTCCCATGGTGGTGGAAGGAAAGCCACAACACCCTGATACCTCTCCCCAGAAGAACAAATCTTTATTGCCAGCCTCCTTGCAGTGGGAGATGCTGCCCCCCTTGTTGTGGGGAGGGGGGTTGGGGTGGGAGTAGGGTGGAATGATCCACCAGAGCTGCAAAGGCAGATAGCTACACTTGATCCTGGAATATGGGCTATAGTACAAGAATTTTCCATTTCTGGGAAGGTGTGGGGGCAGTGCTGTGTAGGGTTATTGTTGTTTGAAAAGGGGGCAGTATGCCAAACAAGTTTGGGAATGTATGGTAAACTTTAAATGATAGTAGGCCACCCACAGTGAAATTTTGGATAGCTGGATTACAGTGTTAGAATGGGACAATTCTTGGGACCTATTTTCATAGTTGGGGCGTACCAGTCTCCAGCCTGAAGTGTCGTCTATACTTGACTGCACCTTGATCAATCCTCTTCCCCCCTGTACCTTAGGCTTTAAAGATAATTGGGAATTTTAATTTCAGATTATTATGTGTTCTTCCTCCAGAGTATGCTTCTTCTATTTACATAATTATTTTTCACAAAGAAAAATGACCTGGATTGTATATTTTACTGGATTATTGATTCAGTTCTCTCTTATTTGCCTTATATTTCCATACCTCTAAGTTAATTTCTTAAGAAGTCAGCGCATTAATAGTATATTTCTGAGACCTTCCAAGGTAGGAATGGCTTTTTACCTGCTTTTTAAAGCCTTTTGTATAAGTGATAGATTGATGGGTAGAGAATCTTTTAAAGTCTCTGGGCAGCGTAAATGGTTAAGCACTCAACTACTGTGTTAGTCTGCATAGACTAGAGAAACAAATTCATAGACACTCATGTGTATAAGAAAGAGCTTTATATAAAAGAGCAATTGTATATTGAGAAAACATACCATCCCAGTCCAGATCAAGTCCATCAGTCTGATATTAGCCCATATGTCTGATACTAGTCCATAAATTCCTCTTTGGACTCAGGCGGCACATGCGGTGATGCTGAATGCAGGAAGATGATGGCCAGTGGGTCTTGTGGGTCCAGTGGCAGTGGAAGCATCTCAATGCTGGCGTGGGTCTCCACGTGTCATCTTCAGCTCTCATGAGTGTCTCAATAGCAGGGAAGGGAAGGCAGAGAGAGTGGGTCTGGCCTCCAGTGAGCGATTTTTCTCCCTCATGCGTCTAAATGAGATCAAGCTGCAACCTGATTGACAGGCTAGACTCCACCCCTTCGCTTACGTTGACAGAAGATTATGTAAGTGCCACAGCCACTAGTCCAAAGGCTGGCTGGTCAAATCACCCAGCCTTTGAAGACAGGCCTTGAAAAACTTAATGAGCAGGTATACTCTACACACGAGACTGTCTTGAATTGGAATTTACTAGATGGCAACTAACAACAGAATACTTGGATCATGGCTCCCCCCCCACCCCACCCCATGTCTGTTATTCTTTGACCCTGGTCTTGAAACTGACCACTTGAAAATGCTACTTTTAGTTGTTCCCATTTCTGCCTCTCTCAGTGTGTGTGTATGTGTGTGAGGTAGGGTTCTCTAGAGACGTGATACCAGGATACTTATTTTATATATATGAGGATAGGTTTATACAGTGAGAAGGAATATAATAGCTTATTAGTCCACACAACAGTACAGAGGGTTCAGTTCAACTCACTTCCATGGAACAGTTAATATCCTGGAAGTTCTCCAGCTCACGTGGGCTGCTGGGTTCAAGGTCAAGGAAGCAGACAGCAGAGTTCTCTGTGGGGTAAGGCAAGCAAGTCTGCTCATAGGCAACAAGCAGCAGGGTGGGTCACCAACAGTCAGTAGTTTGGGAGCTTAGGGTTGCAAGGCAACAGAATCCACCAGCCTCAAGCTCAAGCAATGTGCGCACCATCAGTGTGGTGAAACAGGTCTCAAAGGAGCCTCAAGCTCTAGGGACATGATCCACAGGCTGGCCTGGTCCACAGGTAGTGCAGTTCACAGGTTGAGGCAGAGAACTAGCTATAGCAATAGCATGCCTGTTCCAGCTTGCCCCGATCACCAGAGAGCAAGAGATGGGGTGGGTAGGCCTTGCTTGCAGAACCATTTATCTTTTTGTCTGCCAATCAAACTGCGATCTTATTAATCACACATGCTCCTTTTGGCCAGGTTGGCATAATAAACTGTGTGTGTGTGTGTATGTGTGTGAGAGAGATTTGGCATAATAAACTGTGCGTGCGAGTGTGTGTGTGTGTGTGTGTGTGTGTGATGGGGACTATGGTGAATGTGTACTTTTCTTTCAGTAGTTCCTAATGGGACTCTACTCTCTCCAGATATCCCCGGAAGAAGTACTGGATTGAAAAGCCTATCAGTCCAGCAATCAGAAAACAAACAGACGAATTTTCAGATAAACTTGTATCATTAGCAAAAGGACTGAGAGGTTTCCATGGTAAGTTGAGGGCAGGGGTTCTGAACCTAGAAAACCTTGCTCTCCCCCTCCCCCCACCTCTGGTGTTTCCTACAGTGTTTCCACTGTCCTTTCCTTTTCAAAACTACTTGCTCTTATGCAGCAGGTCATTCATACCTGGCAGGGACACTAAGGAGGTCCAGGGAAAATTTTCACAGGACAGTCTAAGAAAGTTTCCTAGACAAGGGTGTGCTAATCATCAGGACCCAGAGTTGTTTTAAAGATGCTACATATCTAAAAGTGAGGTAAAAGAATATTGGGAGAGTGCACTTCAAAGAAGTACCTTCAAGAATACAAAGATTAATGTGATGTAGAACTAGGAATTCAGGCTTTAAAACTTCAAAAGTAAAATATGCCCCACTGTCCTTTTCCATGAAATGCCGAATTCATTCATTGTATTTGCCATGGATCATGAAAGTTGGACAAGTATGAGTGTCTCCTGCACAGACCACTCGATTTCTTTCGAGGTCAAGGAGCCTGGTTGTGCTTTAAGCTCTGTTGCCCAAAAGTAAGAGAATTTTATTTGAAAAGATCTGTTTAAATCACTTAACTGTATTCTTCTTTCACTCTAGGAAAATTGATGAGGGACCTGGAGTTTAAAACAAGTGAGTAGCTGGAGGGGGTGATATAAAGGTCGATGCCTCAAACAGAGTGAATTCTCCTACCTCCAGGGGCAGCTTCCCTTCGAAGTTCCTTTCCTTATATGTGCATCAGTGCTTTAGCCAGGAATGTCCTTTTGATGGTTAATCTATCCCCAATCCCTCTATTTCAAAACCACAAACCCTTTCCCAGTTTTACCCAACTATAATGAGCCCAGGTGCTCTCTCCCTTATATGTGCATCAGTGCTTTAGCCAGGAATGTCCTTTTGATGGTTAATCTATCCCCAATCCCTCTATTTCAAAACCACAAACCTTTTCCCAGTTTTACCCAACTATAATGAGCCCAGGTGCTCTCTCCCTGGCCTCCTGCTCACAAAGTCTCATCACCATGCTTATGCTCTTTCTGTTTTCTGCCTTGTGTAGATAGGGAGCTAATAATAGAATGAACACAAGGTCTAAGGCAATCTTTGTCCTGGTCCCCAGGGAGTCTCTCCCAGAGTCTATTAGAGAAACTCCTTTGCTCTCTTTAATGATGCTGCATCTTTATCCTTTTGTCCCAACAGTAAGGATCGTCCTGAATACACAAACAGCCAATGGCTACCTCTCAGTGTCTGCAAATGGGAAGAGTATAATATTCACTGACTTGTGGATGAGCAACTATCATCATGGTCAGCGATTTGATCCTGAGCCTGGTGTGCTGGGCAATAAGGGCTTCACCTGGGGCAAAGTGTACTGGGAAGTAAAGGTGGATAGGATATGGTGGGGAGCTGAGGATGAGGACGCAGCAATGAGACATAGGAGTGGAGTCCAAAGTGTATTTAGCAGTAGTTATTTTTCTGGGTTCATGGACACCTCTGATGGATATCGTTCTACTGGATTTAGAAATGACATTGAAAGGTTGGAGGAGGAATGGCCTCCGGAAAATGGAATACGGTCCAAATTCTGCCTGGTGGGGGTAGCAAGAGAGTCTGTGGTAAGAAGAGGGTTTCTCAATTTCACCCCTGAGGAAGGATTCTGGACTTTGCGGCTGTCTTCAGCTGGAGTCTCTGTATGTACAGGTACGGAGCCTTTTCAGATCCTGTCCTACTGCCCAAGGCAGATTGGAGTTGCTCTGAATTATGATGGGGGGACGGTAACCTTTGTTAATGCCAGAACGCAGGAGCTTATCTATGAATTCTCATCTCCCTTCACTGGGAGAGTTTTTCCTTTCCTGTGGCTTAATTGCATGAGATCTAGACTTACACTGAGCCCCTGAGAGAACGCCACATGAGCACAGCCCCACTTAGTTCCTTCCTCCCAACTCTGGCCGTCTCGCTGGGGTTTCAGATGACTTAGGCAACTAGAACAATGTGATGTGTATATAGTCAGGCGTCCTCTCTGCTTCATCTCTAAAATGAGGATGATGATACTTGATCTGTTTTATTTACAGTAGAAGCGTTGAAATGTTTTCAGAGTGCTAAATAAAGTGAGTGCTATTCTTAATCTGTTGTCATGGGTTTAGTCCTCATCTTTATCTACCATTGAGATAAAGGTCTGAAAAAAAGACCGTCAGGATCGCCACCCTGCGACTAGCAGTAATCGCTCACCTCTCTACCCAGTTCTCCAGCACTTTCCCTGCGACAGAGCTTCTCTTGACATCGGAACAGCTGTGGAGATACTTTGATGCAACTCATACCTAAGCAAGCATTTAATCTTGATCTATTTTCAGATTTTAGATACCTATCTACTCGAGCATAAACTGACCTGAATATCAGCCGGGGTACCTAATTTTACCACAAAAACTGCAGTAAAAATGTGCTGGAAAAACCTGGCTTATACACAAGTGTATACGGTATCTGGAATAGGTTTAGTTTATTAGTTTCTGTAAAGATTCTTGTAATCTCTACAAGAAGGGTAAGAGGAAACTATGTTACATAATGAACAAGGGACTTCAAAAAGTTCTTGGAAAACTGGGATTCTCCATACCCCTCCCCCAAAGTCCTTTTTGAGCTCCCTCATATTGTTTGTATACATTCTATCATCCTTTACTAAGTGTACGTCAGCTGAGTTTGAGATTGTAGTAGTAGGGATTTAGCTTAGGTCCAACGAGTAGACTTAGCTCTAAGTAGCAGAAATCCAATCTGGTTCATTTTGGAGATGATCAATTTATTCAATGGTATTGGGGCCCATAGGGCACCATGATGGAGGGACACCATGTTGACCCTCTTGCAAATTCAGGAGGCACCATGTGACACCACAAAGAACCGCAGTGTGGGAGCTGCAACCAGGAGGAGGAAGTGGAGGCATACCAGAACTTTAGAAGGTTGTCAATATGTAAACAGACTATGCCATGTAAAAGTACATACCGTTCCTGGGCTTAAGACTGTGGGGGAATATGCATTGAGAGTTCAACTGAGACCATTTTGTTGGAAAATAGCACCAAATAACAGAATATATCTTGTATGTACATGCATCAGTGTAAGAAAGTTGAAATGTCTTGGTGATACTATACACTGAGAATCTTCAATGTAGCAGGGAATGGCCAAAGATTTCGGCTAGTATATTATAGCTCAATCCATGTTTAAGGACTTCAGAATCTGGAGGAATAGATTTCATGGCTTAAGGATGTTATAATGGTTTAGGCTAGAAATAAATATGTACCAGAATAAGAGGAAGCAAAACAGTGAAGCTATTCCCCTAGATGGTACTCTGTACTCTGCTGGTTTCCATAATTCATAGCATTGATCACAAGCTACTCACAGTCCATACTCAAAAGTATAAGGTCTATTAGAGAAGTAACAGGACACAGTTTGCCAGTCAGCCTGGCTTCCAACAGGACAATTCTTAGTTTCTTCTTGGCCAGACAGGCAGGCTGACTTGATTCTTAGGTTCCTGTGGGCCTGTGCCAGGACAATTCTTAATTTCTTCTTGGCCAGACAGGCAGGCTGACTTGATTCTTAGGTTCCTGTGGGCCTGTGCTCTGTCACTGAATCCCAATTGGGAAAATTTTTAGGGCTCTATTGTCTCAACTCTCAAGTGCCTGGAAGCACTTCATTACATTAGCAAGCCTCCTGCCCACTGGTACTCACTTCTCTTGGTCTTTGATAGCTCTGCCAACAACAGAAAGAAGGTATCCCACTTTGCCAATAAGTCTGCTGCCCAAAAGTTTTCAACTCACTCTACTGGGAAGCTCTATGCAGCCTTCTTGGTCCACTGCTTAGTGCTACTGTGCCATTTTATACCACTTACAGTGTTGCCTCCTGGGTCTATGAGGTTCTCAGCACAAAGATCCTAGGTTCAAAGATGTACTCTGCTCCTGGTTCTTCTTTGTAATGTCTCAGTCTCTATGGGAATGGCTCTTTCCAGCCTAGTGGAATGGCAATCTGATCAATCCCTTAGTAGGCCACAGGCGCCTTATTTGCAAGTTGCTGTACAAGGATTTTACCTTAATTACATAAGCACAGCCAATCATTTTGTGAGTTAAGGCATCATAATTAGAAAGGCTATGTAAAAGCAATTCAAATGAACTAGCGGTGCTTGATTGTATAGTTAATCCATGCTCGTGGGCATTAAATGTACAACAAATAATGAATTTATGTGTTTTTATAAAGGCTTTATTAAATATGTGCCACTCAAAAGCCCAATGGCTTGATCATCCAGCAAGTTCATTAATAAAGTCCTAGGAGTCGATGTGCTTCAGTCAATGTCAGCCCTGTAGAAAACTGATGTTCAGCTTAAGTGCACAGCGTCCAATGCTGTAGGTAGTTTACTAGGATGGCTATAGCACTCCTTGATTTATATAAGTTTTATTGACATATAACTCACACATCATACAATTCAGCAACATCAAGAAGAGTTATAAAGTCATCACCACAACCAGTCTTAGGACATTTTCTTCATTTTTGCATTCATTGGTTACTAGCTCTCCATTTCCCCCAACCTCCCTGCCATACCTCCAAGAAACCATTAGTCTAGTTACTATCTCTCTAGAATTACCTATTCTGGATTTCATAAACAGGAAAACATTAAAAAATAAACCAGTAACAATAACGAAAAAAAACTTCAATAAAAAAGTGGAAAATATTAAAAACCAGAACAAATTTAAATGGGTCATACGGCAGATCAGATAAGGTGCTAAATTTTAACTTGACTGCATCTGCCACAAACCACTTGCCGGTGTTACCTGTATAACAAGGCTATCCACATACCTCAGTTAGGAAGAGAGGCTATTCACCGAGGCTTAATCCATGTGTGGACCTGAAAATGGATTTGGGGCTTCCACTGTCA